TCCTCTGCCTTTACATCTCGACTCTCAAAAGATTGCCGGTCGCTGAACAATTTCACGCGATGGGGACCAATCCGACCGCTTATCTCACTCAAAGGTGTTGAGTCCTGACCTCTGAAGTTGGTGCAAATGCCGCAAACGCACAGCTTTTTCCTAAGACGTTGCAATCAAGGCATCTTCGTTGGCATCACTTGGATACAATCCATACTGGATTGCGAAACCAATGACAAGAACCACCTCAGGGCGTTGTTGTGTGCCACAGCATTCAAACCAGTAAACCTCCACTGTTGACTTTGCAAGCTACCCTAGATGGCATCAAAACCATTCACCCATCTCCGCTCGGCCCTTCAATTGGTTACTCATGGTTACTCAATGATCCGGAGAAAAGACCTAAAAATGATCAGCGTTCAATGTACCTTCTTGCCCATCTACCTTCTTGCCCAATCAATTTGAAGCTGCTGCTGAGGCTCAGGATATGCAATCCCCAGGAATATGCCCAACGATCTGGTCATGCGCCAACCAGAGACTTTGCTGTGTAGCAGCGTGGCCAGAAGGATCACCTACATGCCATCAGTCGGCCGACTGGCACCCCATCCACTTGGGTCAGCTCAAAAGAAAGACTGCTTTTCCAATCATGTATAATGTCTAAATGATTAAACAAGCACATGCAAACACAAATAGGCTTGTCGATCCAAGTGCAGGTCCCATGCAGCGTCAAAACTGACACCGGATGCGACATCAATGCGCCGGTCATTACCAACGCCTCGAGAGATCCCAGAAGGATGAAAGCGCACGGAGTCATCATGAAAGGAGTGCGGCCACCATGCAAGATCGAAGACAGCAGCAGGATGGATCCATTCCTCAATGGCTCAAACTATTTGTTACCTTTACACCTATGAGATCCTATGAGTCTATGAACATAGATGATCATAGAAGAAAAAAAGCGGAAACCAAGTCTTTCTGACCAAAAAGGACATGCCTCATTCAACTCTCACTGGCCCCGACCCGCAATTTTAATGTCAGGTATCCCAAAGAGCACATTGAACATTGGCCCAGCATAGATGCCAGTGATTGCAACCCGAAATTCACCTGCCTGCAAATGATCTTACGTCTGAGATGGCAAGTGATGACAGCATTAATTGGTTTGCTTGGATCAGTTGGATCCTTCAAAGCAGAATGCTCCACCAGCACGTCCAGGTCAATTGATTCACAGACCACAACAACTGTTTTCTGAGGTTCCGGAAGGGAGACTTCTCACGACCAAGTCAGTGTTCAAGCTTGGTCCACATGTTCACACTTGTAAAGAAGGCTGTGCCCAAAAGAAGTCCGGTGACTTCTACGGCATCGTTCCTTCGGTGTTTTGCGTCTGGTGAATGCCGACTTCACGCACAACAGCGGCAGCGGCATTCGACCGTCTCAGCAGTATCGGACCTTGGCCAGGCCCAACAATCCAAAGACATTGTCCACACAATTGCCCCAGGCCAAGAGTGTAATGCCCATTGGCATCGGCTCTAAGCCTTACAGAAAACCGAACGTCGGAAGGACGCCAAATCGAACACGTTGAAGTGATCTGTTTGCGTTTGTTCGCTTTGGCAGGTAGCCAATAGTGATGTCAGGTAGCAGAAGCTAGTAGTAAACATAAGCTAGTAGAGAGGATGCAGAAAGGCTCGGATATTTCTAGAATTATTCCCCTAAGCGTGGGAGAAGCTTCCTCCAAAAGCCCTTCGCGTGGTTGAACCAACTGCGAGATTCTGAGGAAAACTTTAGAAACTATCACTATAGTATTGAAGTCTGTTGTATGGGGTACCTCTTGGGGGATTTGGATGATCATTCGGTACCTCTAGAAGTACGCTTCGAACAAACCTGTTGTGGGACCCTACAAGTCTCTGGCCCTGAGGCCTCAGGAAAGATCCCCAGTTCTGCATTTTGACTACAATATACTACAATAACCATAACCTATGGTGGTCTTACTCGGGCAAATTCAAACATACAGCTTGTTCATGTTTCAAGCTTCTCGAACCGACTGTTTTCCAATGGCTTCAAGCAGAGCAGGGCGACCTCACATGGGTCAATCATGGTAAACCTTGGTCAAATTTATTGGAAGCCTCATGGGATGTAGATGACTATCTATGGAATTCCTGGATATCTATGGTGAAGTTCCTGCGGCCCGTTCCATCGCAAGGCACCCATAATCGTTCCCACGAGCTGCATGGCACCCACGACTTCGTTGGCCAAAAGCGCCACCCACCTGAGGAGGAGACAAACAACTGCAAACAAACTCCGCTTGAGATGCCTCCTGAGAACCAGTCTACATATGTCTACATGAATGAAACGTGCCGTGTGATACCTACCTCATATAACACATGTGCAAGATCTGATCCCAAAGGATGGCAAACGAGGGGGAGACACACACATAGACACTCACATCGCACATGCCGGATATTTGGCCAAGCTGCAGAAGCGAAGTAAGGAATGTGGCCCAGTTGAAACTCATCTGCGCCTCGGCTAAAAGCAACTTCAAATTTGAGATGAAGCTTTCTGAGACCTTTCTGGAAACTGTCAATGCTTAGTTGGTTCCAGTACACATGTCAAACCATTGCAAACACATTAATCATCAAACTAGACCCGAAGACAAACCATGTGCAAGCACAGGTGCCACATAATGCTTGGGAGGAAGATTCCGGGATGTAGTCCAGGTAGCAAGCGATAGCGCGAGACCCACCAGCCAAAACAAAACCAAAGTCACTCGTGCCATCCTCGGCTTGGCTTGATGAATCACAGCAAAAGAAAGCAAGTAAAACAATGTGTGCCAGTACCCAAAAAAACACCAATTTGTGAAGACAAACCGCAAAACACGCGAGTTCTATCTTCCTCTAAGTACCAAGATCCTTGCGGCCCTTGCAATCATTTCTCTGCTCTCAAGTTCCTCTCACAGATCACCTGCACAGCCAAGTCAAAGGCCCGAGGATCCACGGCGATTTCGAGTCTTCCACCTGACGCCAGGCGGTTCCGCGGTGGGAATCCACACTGTCTGACGTGGACTCATCCGCATTCTCGAGTTAATGCGGTCATCCTTTCTGGACTCTTAGATACTTCTGCTGCAAAAAACTTTGGACTTTTGCATTCTGATGGCTTATGCTGAACCTGTCTTAATTACAGCAAAGGAGACCTTGCCTCAAAGGCTTGTGTGTACAAATTGCTCGTGGGTGACCCAGTGATGCCGAAGGGGATGAAGAAACACATGCCTCAGCAACATTTAATGGGATTCAACAAAGACACAATAGAATGGAATGGGGCAATATGGACCACAGGGTTCGTTCTCTTCAACTGAAATCCCACGTGTCCGGTGCGTCTAGCTGCATTCACCAGACACGTGAACTGCAGGGGCGACAGCGACGCGTTCTCATACATCCCTTGAAGACCAAAAAGGGGTACCTGTTCACTTCTTGTCAAAGAAGTGATTATATAGTTTCAGACGTTCAAGACACACAGAATGCTAGCGGCACGCTCTTACTATTTGATTCATGGCTGCAAGATTCTGCAAGCACATATTTGTAAGACATCTTCCCTGATTCTCCCTGTGCCCCTCGGCTGCCCACCCATCGGCAGCAGGACATTCACCAAGTCATCCCAGGTGGTGGTGGCCATGGTGAGCACCTGATCGACCGCACTGCACGACTACGTCGACGTCCAGCAGTCGCTTCACCAGTCATGTCATCTTGGATTTGATGTCCAACCTGGAAAACATTCTTCCTCAGAAGGGGATTTCCAATCGGAAAAAAAACATCTCCTTACGCTCCTTAAGCAAAACCAGGTCATTTGTGGGAGTGTGCGGGCTATCTTGCCAAGGTCACTGTCACTTCTCCACTGAAATCTCCCTGACCAGGTGCAAACTAGGCACAAGGAGCGGCCGCAGTGGGAGCGCCAACGCGAAGCTCAGACGTTCGATTGCTCCGCCATCCTCCTCCCAACCTGGAAGAATTCCAGAAGCATTTCCAACTAACATGCCATTCACTTCCGTCGCTGTATCATCTCTTCCCAGCAAACAATATCAACACCTCCTGTCCTATCAAAAAGAAAGAAAAGGTAACACAGAAACCTTTCACCAATTGCAGCGCCTCGTGTCAACCACCCACGGTCTTTGTCAGGCTAATTACCTGATTTTGTGCGCGCTTGTTTTTTTTTCGCCGTAGATTCTGTGGATGGCCTCCCCGTTTTGCCGGTCACCTTCCGCGCAACTTCTAGCCCGATGGTTGCGTTGGCTTCTGTCCCCAGCAAGCGCTTTAGCTCATGTTGCCTTGCTGTCATACATCGCGGTGCGATGCGTTGGCCTCAAGGACACGGGACCGAGAGGGCCAAGCACCCGGCCAGCGGTGCATCATTGCGGGATCGCAATGGTTGGGTATGGCCCACGAGCGAGCCGACACGAGCGAGCCGACACTACGCCAGCCATGCGCTCAAACAAACGACCACAACCAAGCAACAAGCCAAGAGCGGCACGCCAGCATGACACCAAGCACAAAGCATCACAGGTCAAGGAGTTTCTCTATCCGGTCTGGGTCCTACTAGTCAATGGGCACCGATCCAAATTGGGCGCCGAAGCTCATGCGCCTGATCCATCTTTACGGAGGACGTCTTGTTACGATTCTTCAGGAGTCATACCCTGGTCACACACCTCCACGTCTACAACGGCCTGCATGCAGCTTCAAGCGGTCCATCCAGCTGTCGGCCGCAAAGGATGGGGGCTCCGCCACAGGCTCACCAGCCAAGGCTGGGAATGACACCTCGAAGGCATTGGGATCACTCCAACATATTTCAGGTGTTCATTGCCGGCAAGCACAACACAGCAACTTGATTCGTAAACGATCGTAAACATAATAAAAGGATCATTAACGCTGACAAATGGATGCAAATGGTGCTGTCAGCAATCTTCAGATCATTGGGCACGTTCGAACTGAACGCGTGATTCCACCATTTTCCATGTGGCTTATTTTGGCTTCAGCTCAACTCTTGAGCACAAACTCAATTCCACTATGTTCCACTTGTATTAAACCTACAGTAAAACACCTGCATTTTCCATGCCACCACCCTCTTCGCCGCGCGGCCGCCACCCGGCTGCCACGTCCCACGAAGCTGCCAGGCCCTGAGCCCGCGCTGAAGGACGAGCCCCGCCGCGGCGCCGGAGCGCCGGTGACCGCGCTGGGTCCGACGGCCGCGTCCGCGGAAGCGCGGCGCGCTCGGCGGGACTCGCGGAGGCTGAGGAAAACATAGAGGACGTAGAACAAGTTCATGATGAGCGCCATGTACCTCATTTAGTATCATTGAGTTATATCATATTTAACTGATGACATCTTGAATACTGAATCTCACGGATTGCATGTCACATCATCCTTGCATCTTTCAACCAGTGAGTGCAGTTGGGGTGCGGTTGTCGCTTGTGGTAGTTTGCTATGTCGTTTTAGAGGGTTCGGATGGTTTGGTCATCATTGACAACTTTTCACACGCCGGTAAAGCTTCTCTCAAAACAAGAAGCTAAGCAGCGGCTATTGTCAAAGGTTTAAGCAGGTGCCAGTGTGTCACATACCTCCTTGAGATTGATCGAAAACAAATCTCTAAGCTTCGTCACCCAGCGCCAACCCACTGGCCGTTTCGCCAAGCGGGATCTTGCCAATAACCTGACTTCCATATGTTCCGTGCGAGGTCGTGAGAACCGTGGGCATCGTCCTCTGCCACCTAAAGTGAGCCGTGGGCGCTCCGGCAGCATTTGCGCAACACAACGTTTTGTTATCGACTTGGTTATCGATCAGGCCTTCGTCGGGAAAAGGCGCATTGTACGTACGAACTGACCACCTCTTTCAAGGCTCACGCATCAGTGCTGCACGCTTCGCAAGACTTCGCTTCGCAAGAAGGGTCATTGCTCGGAACCTAACAAGCTTGGCTGCTGGCGCAGGGTGCTTCAGCATGCTGAAAAGCAAAGGAGAGAGCGTTGTACAGTCTGCCCGCAGCACAAGCAGCTTGCCCGCGGCCAAACAGCCCGATGGTTTCGTTGTGCGCAGTGCGTCACACAGCTTGCCGGTCACCGCCAGTCCAATAGCTTCGTTGCCAGCACGCAGCGTTGCCGAACATCTCCAAACACTGACAAAGCAAAAAAACACAGCGACATAGTTCAAGTCATCGATTTTGTGTAGTTCACAAGTCATCGCTTTGACGTCGGTTTGGAGCAGCTCACATCATGGGAGTGAACCTCGACGAACAGTTTTGCCTGTAGCTCCAGATAGCTCAAGTGCTGTCTAGAAACGTGGAGACAAACCCAAAGGATCCGAAGAGGATCATCAAACCAACTGCCAAAAAGCGGAAGCTGATGTCACGAGTGAGGACTGAAGGATTCACTTGGATGCCTCAGCAGGGAGCTCTTCAACTGATAAAGCAAGAACCGGTAGGTTTGCTATTTCCCACGTCTTTGTTTCTTACGTGCCAAATCAAGAATATAGTCATATCATGTCATATCCACTGCTGCAGCCTGCTGCAGCTGCACCACTTGTTTAACTGATCAAACAACAAAGAGTCATAGACTAGAAGCCTTCTGACCCTGCGAAGAGCAACACCAGGGAGGCCACAAAAGTGTTGATGAAGACCCCAGTGCCAAAGACACCTCCAAGCCAAAGTCGAACCTTAGCTAGCTTAGCTTCAAGAGGTCGTGAAAGTTCCTTGGGTTGATGGAAGACCACACTTCCAACTTAAAGGATATATGTATGTATACACACATGTCATGTGTCTTTGCTTGTCTCTTCCTCACATCTTGTTTGAGACATATCAGTCAGTCCTAACCACGCAGCTAAGGCACATCACTCTCACTTGATTCGCCGCCACCGTTTGCGAGAGCCTGGCTTGCTGGGTTGTGTAGTGTGGTCATGTAGCTCCACAGCTTTCAAGGCCATGCTGACAGTGGTAACAGAAGGGAAGGACATGCACTCGCCACGAAAGGCAAGGACATCGAGTGGTCGCTAGAGCAATAGCACACTGCTGCAGCGTTATGCCTGCTTCCTGACTTGGCCCGTGCCCGTTTCCCATTTTTTCTGGATCTGACAGGCGTCCGACATAAAGCCGATCATGAAGTCATTGGCCGATCCGCCCAACGCCAGCAGGGTGGCACCAAGCAGGGCATCAGACATCCTCAGAGGCACCGTTGATCTGCTCAGCAGCCCCAATAGGTGCTACAAGTTGTGTTCAATCTTTGTGACTCAGGGAATCCTGCATGATCAAGCGGAACTTGGGATGGATTGCCATAGAGGGCTGCCAAATGCGATCAGTAGAAGTACCTGTACCTTGAACCTTCAACTGTTATCCCTTGTTTTGTTTCGCTGATCAATACTCCTACTGGTGCAAACTGGACTGGTTGAGGCTTACTTGTGCCGAGCAAGCATCTTGAGACCACGGCCAATTTGGATCAGCACAGGCACCAAGTAACCATCGGCCACTACCTGGAAGTGGAGAGTGGACGACAAAAGCTAGAACAAGAAGCGGGGGGGCTACAAACAAAGGCCAGTCTTGTGAGCTCCCTATCACATCATCGACAGGGAAGACTTATACTAAGACTTTAAGAACCTTTAGTTATATAGTTACCAACTTGAAGTCCCAACCTCTGCCCCAACGATTTTCTCAGCTTGGAACAAACGCATAGACCAAGTTACTCCCATCACAATGAAATAGTAGAACAAGAGCAGAAGGCACAGGATGGTCGCCCAGAAGGCATTTCCTGACTTTTGCCACATGACTTCAACTCTTCACACTTTCAACTCGTGGGATGGGATGGGCTGTGGAAGATCGGATGGGCTTTTAGCCCGCAGAGGACAGACGAAAGATTTAACTCCTCAAACATCGAAAGCTGCTTGCGGCCAGGCACCCTTCAATGTGCATGCATAAATCGCCTCATAGTCCAGCAAGGTGTCATCATCCGCGTTGCAGCTCATCAACATGCACTGCGCCGAGGAATGACCGCTCAGCCAGGAGAGTGCTTGCCTGCCGGTCTCGTCCCCTCTACCACCACACAGCCACCTCTTTGACCAATTCCAGCCTGGCGTCTTCTCGGTTGGATGCCACTGCGGCCAATGAACAAAAGGCTCCCTGGCGGAGACGTCGCGCCGTCACGCCAGCAAAGAAAGAATCCAAAGCCAGTCCAACTCCCAACACATCAGTTGCCCAATGCCCAGATCATTATATACCCATTACCCCGTCACCATCGGGTTCACATTGACCCTAGCTCTTTGCCTCCACCTCCCCATCCTTCATCTGGGAGTCCACTGCCTCAAAAGGCGATCGGGTCGGAAGATCCAAATCGATCTGGGTCATCTGAGATCTCAAGTGCTAAGGCCATCGGACAACCTTTTGCAGCACGACCAGCACAACCCTAGATCGAAACCCTTTGGCTGGTCTGAAATCTCGGAGGTGCCAGCCCCACACGATTTCACGCTCTCATTCTTTGTTCTGATTTCTTTTGTAACTCCAACGCTGCCAAGCGACCAGCTGGCCGTCCTGCGAGGGTCAGAGAGACGCGAGCTTGCACTGCCATAGTGAGATCATAGCATGTTACGCATGCATTTTGGATGTCTGATGATGTCTGCCACATCTGCAGAAAACCAGTTTGAATAATTTTGACATCATGTAAAGCTGCACATGACCTTGAAGGATACTGCAAATGCGCCATTCTCTGATCTGAAATGTGTCCCCCAATGAGGACACCATCCACTGAGTGATTTTCTAGATTCCAGAAAGAAAAAGCAGCAACAAGGAAAAGGAATGACATCCAACAATTGGTTTGGGTGTCTGAAGTCTGAGCTGAAACCGCATCAACCCAGGCCTGCAACTCTTTCATCCGCTCTGCTATTTGGACCTGTGAGAATCCGGCAGGGACAGGACTTCAAAGGAGTTGCTATTAGGGAACACAACAAATGACTGCATCAACATACTAAGCATGCTTGGGACGCCAAGACATGGCAGGAACACTTGGAGCCTTCCTCAAACGCTTCATGTTGGAAGAAAAAAATCTTGTCTGAAAGCACACAAGTTGCTCATTTGGCAGCCACGTTTTCTGGAACCAACCTCAAAAAGTGGACTCCTGGACCTCTCTTGTTCTATTGGAAAGGTTCACCACCAAGACCTCGCTGCATTCGGTCAAACCCGAAGCTAAGGTTAAAGTAAGTCAGATCTTCGCTACTAGTAGCTTCTTGTTACTAGTAGTAAGGCGAGGAGCTACTAGTAGCATCCTTGCTCCTAGTAGCGATGTCCTTTCTTCTTGTTACGCACCGTCCAAGATACGGCCAATGTATCCTTCTTGAACATCTAGACGAGGGAGTACAACCCGCCCGCAACAGCTAGGTAGCTTTGCCCATGCCCGATCTCGCAGCCTTGCAGGCTTCATCTTTGGATGCGATGCAAGCGTCGTCCTTCTCCCCAACCTGTGGTCAGGATGCAAACCATGCAAACCGCAACCCCCACAAACCGGCGGAGTGGTCCAAGAAAACCACGACGTCCACACGTCTATGAAGGCCGGCAAAATGTGCTGGACGATGCTGGATGATGTAGCATGGGGCACCACTGGTCAGCATGAAGAGATGATTGAAGATTTGTCAAATCCAGCGTGGATCCAGCTAGATGGACCCATGACAATAGTCAATAGTCCTTATGTTTGTTGGATCCATGAACGCTTTGCTGCAGCTGTGGACAGGTACCTCCAGAACGGAGCAAATGGTTCCCGCGGATGTGTCACAGGAAGCATAGTCAAGGAAGATGTCTGGCGTTGGTGACATACCTGCACGATGGAGTTCAAGTCAAGACTTCAAGTACAGTACTTAATCTATCTAGCTCTATGTATATATATATAATACAACATTGTATACCATGCGGATAGTTCAAGATGATTCAAAACCGAAGTAATGGACTTCTCCCTGGGAGTCCGGGGCAATTGCCTGTGTTCACACCGAACAAAGCCATCATGTTCGACTCGTGTCCCTGCGAGCATCCTTTTCTCTCCACGAATTCAGGTTCGTTCTGCCAGATCTCCCTTAGGGAATCGACATGAAGATATGGACATCTAAGAAGATCTGCGTAGATCTACATTACATCATTACATCTGTCGAGAACGCTTGCTTCACGGAGCCTTGGTCTCCTCCACTTCGCCACGTGGGTCATGGGGCGATCGAGGCTCCTCAGGCTCTTGTGCCTGGTTCCATTTCACCTGCTCCAAGTCCCGCACTTCCGGAGGCTGTGCCAGAGCATCCTCGGTCATCCGTGAACTATCCATAGAATCATCCATGGTCTCGTCATCATCCATGATCTGTTGGGCATGGACCTTGGAAGTCGCTGGGCCAAAGGACATTTGCGAGATGGATCTGGGAATCTGGTCCTTGGAAGGGCCTCGGCTACCATCTTCTTTGGAAGGAGACCATTCATCTGCACCAAGACCACCACAACAGCCAGTGAGGTTCCGGAAGGACCGACTGAGGGGACGCCACACCATGGCTAAGCCCCACAAGGCAGGGATCACCACCACAATCACCACTGTAAGACCAAACCATGCATTCTTCTCATTGAAAAAGGGCTCCTCTCTAGCCTTGTCCTGTTTGCTGAAGCACGTGATGGCATGGGTGATCTCCGGTTGCCCAGCTGGTTCAAGTCGAAGCCATGTCTGCCCCCAGTAGGCTGCATTTGGATCCTTGGTCCGCTGGCCTCCATAGATGTAGCAAATGTAGTAGCCATAGGCATAAGCACTACACCAAGGATCTTGGGTACATTGCTCCCGGCACTCTTCCTCTACAAGGACATTGCCGAAATACCGTGGAATATCTGCAGGGAATCCAGCATGCCCTTCACATGAGTAGTAGCCCTCGAAGGCATACTTTGGGTCTCTCAATTGGTGACCCACGCACTGCCCCTCCACACACCGCTTGTCGTAGGTGTTGGGGTCGCCATCCTCACATTTCGTCCCCTCCGGTTCGGGTGTGAAAACACACTGACCAGTCCAGGGGTCACATGTTCCCACTTGCCCTGTGCAAAAGACTGAGTTTGTACAAATTTTATCTTTGCAAATCACCTCAGGAATGTTGCTGAGTTCCCTACGGCAAAGTCCAGCACCACACTTGCCATCAACCACCCCCCCATACTGGCTACTGCAAGGTGTATCATCAGGCTTCGCTTCAAAGACGCAACTTCCTGTGGGCGGGTCGCATGCTCCCTCCACTTTGTCGGTGGGTACAAGACAGCTATTGAGGGTGTTACACTTCACATCAAAGCGGACACATTTGTCTTCAATGCCGGTGCACACGGCGTTTTGACAGGTATCCGTGTGCGTGTAGTCCTTGCCATCTGCACAGGGTGTCCCGTCAGGTAGCGTAGAGTAATAGCATTGACCGTCCCCAGGTGCGCAAACACCAACATCCTGACATGGATCTGTCAGCGGGCACGTCTTGCCAGTAATGATGCAAATATTGGCCGGGCGGTGCTTGTACTTCCCACAAAGAGTGCTGGGCCGATGATTGAAGCACATACGAGAAATCCCATCACAATTGTCTGGCGTGCCATCCAAGCGGAGAAGCTCCGTTTCGCCCTCACATTGATCAGGCTCTCCAGGAAAGCCTCGCGATTTCCAGCAGTTGCACTTGTGCCAATTGCCACAATTTGCCTGGCAGTCATTGCTTTCTCGAGTGTAGCACTCACTTGTGTCAAGCAATGCCGACGGGCAACGCAAAGTCTCAAAATCATCTGCCACTCCTTGACAAACACCTTGCGCTTCATCAAATTGTACTGAATCGGCCAGAAGGGTGAAAAGACACTCATCATAGATGGCCGACGCAATGGACCCGCAATTCTGACACGAGATGTTGCATGCTTGGAAGGCCGATTCATTGAAGAAGGCGCAGCGGGCCGCATCCGCACCCCAGAAGGATAACTCCATGCATGAGTTCACGGCCTCCCTGACAATGGTTCCCCGACATTTATCGGTGTAGCACGGTGGAGCAGGTTCTTGAGGGCAAAGTGGGGGACCAGTGTAGTTGGCCTCATTTACGGCAGTAAAGTTGTCTGTGCAGTTGGTTGCATTGCTGCCATTGCTGCCGTTGCTATCATTGCTGTTGTTGACACTTTGTGCCGCTGCACAAGATAAAATCAGGAAGCAGAGAGTGAAACTTTGACGCGCCCATCGAAGAGGACCTGAAGGCATGAGCCTTCGAGGCGCATCCGAACTAGAGACACTGTGCTGATTCTGCCTAGACATGCCTAGACTGTTGACTGGAGCTACCGCACATGCTAGTGGCTACCCTGGGCAACTGTGAGACCTGCCAAGTTGGACAAAACAGCACAGTCATCAAAGCCGACTCACAACCGCTCGAGAAGCAAGCTACAGGGTGCGGATGCGATCGCTCTGAGCTTTGCTGCAAGACTGAAATCCCTCATCGCACAAAAAGAACACGACCGGCCTAGCTTGTCAGGCCTTGCCCTATACTTACAGTACATTCTCTTTGATCCCAGCTATGTGTTCCCCCAGGTCTGTGAGACATGGAGTTTCGCCAGTTTCGCCCATCCTCTTTCATCATCTCGCCTGCCTTGCAGGATGACACGTCGGTGTACATGGCCATGGGTATACCAAAGATGGTGCTCCTTGGCCTCCGGGTTGAGCCAAATGGTTCCCAAGCCTGGTGCCTCCTCGCCGGTGGCAGTCTGGATCGAATGACAACTGAAAAACGTAGGGTGTGAAGCAGAACGCCCACCAGTCAGATTTGTCTCCAATAAATAACTATAGCCCTAGAGATGCGGAAGGAGGAAGAAGAAAAAGAAGAAGACCGTTTGAAGCAACAAGGACACTAAAGCAAAAGTGGAATGGTTTGTACCCAAGGACACTAAAGCAAAAGTGGAATGGTTTGTACCCAATGAAAGGGGAACTCAGCACAATGCCGTCAAAAACCACCTTGGTGACAAATAGTCC